TGTTTCTTTTCATATTTTAGCAAGATGTATACAACAAAGACAACCTGGTGTACTTAGAGAACTTAAGTAGAAATGAAACACCAAAATAAGATTAAATCAAAATTTTTTTTTACCTCGGATATTTGACAACATTCGTAAATCATGTAATTATTTTAAAGCAAAAAAATCTTTTAGTACTGCCAGTAGCTTTCTTTATGACACTAATAAAATTTCATCGAGATAACCTTAAATTTCTCTTCAAACGATCAACGTATATGACATGTTGCTCCGTTTCATTGGGATTGTCCATAGCCTACGCATACAATAGAACGAAACAAAGAGGAAGTGTATTTAGAATGGAGATTTCCTAGTCCTTGTGATGCTCCTGTTGGGGGAAGAATGTGTTCTTGTTCTCACCGCAACGACTAGATTAATAGTTGTTAGTTGCACTTCCTCTTTGTTCCGTTCTATTGTATGCGTACGCTATGGACAATCCCAATAGAACGGAACAACACGTCATATACGTTGATTGAATAAACCACACTGTTATTTGAAGTATTTAAATAGTCCAGACACATATCTACCTAAGCACACATACAACAGAAAGTAATCGCGAACGCAAAACTAATATTTATAAAAGCAGTTATGACTGGTATGTGAAACGTCTGTTCCTTTTTGTACATCGCTGTTATTCTGTCTGTTAATATTGAACAGTACAATTTTAGAGCCATTTGAACATGCAAGCACCGATGGTAAGTTATTTTCATCGAAGGAATGTTGAAATCAATCCGCTATAATTGATACAAACACTTGTTTTCGGAACAAAGATAAGTAAGATTTTTAACGGAACAAATCTCTTATTTCTGCTTCAGCTGCTGCAATATCCATCTTAAATAATCAGGTAAATAAAATTGACAGATAATCCTCGAAACGATGGAATTATATGTAAAAGTTGCACTGCTCGTCTTATCACTTCTTTTTCGCGAATTAACTGCTTTCGCTTAGACAACGGGAGAAATCGTTTTGATTGTCAAGTCTTTTAAATAGACTGAAAAGAAACCTTTACTGACCAGATGAAATTATTTATTTAGACTAGTTCTTCAACTATCGTATTTCAACCAAACAACACGAATGATAAAAACGACTAATATTTTTGATAATGGGTACAACACGAATGACAACGCGAATGATAAAAACGACTAATATTTTTGATAATGGGTGCACAATCAACATTCTAACTTGTATTTATTGGATTCTTAATAAAGTCAACTAGGCACAAAGAAACATGTAACACATATTTCTCGAAGAGTCAGCCGGGGAGATGCATTCAGGATACTTTTTCGTACTTTTCTCACCCTCAGTGGAACTGATTGTTGTCCATACGGTTGAATTATTCTAAAACAATTGATTGTGGATACACTCTTTCTTCTTTCTTAGAAGCTCAAACGTGGCAACTTTGCAGCGTGGCAACTTTTTAGTTTCTCATAAAAGGGGAAAGAGTCCATCCAAAAGCGGTTGTATTGATTATGAACTTTCTTACTCAACATTAATAAACAAAGAAGGATAATAACTGAACAATGTTTTTTGGAGAGAGCAACTTACACTGAAATTTATTGTTATACTGCTACTATTATAAATTCTTGTTGTCGATTTGCGACAGCACAGTAACAGCTACAGAGAAAAAACTGTTTGTGGACTTGTTTCGAAAAGTAGTTTTCAAACCACTTTGTCTGGAAAAGAAGGATGTTAAAATACTGCATAACTGATAAATGTCCTGATGATATTACCGATATGATCTCGTCAGATTTCACATTTAGGCTCGTAGTCTGGACATTGACTAGCTTTTTCTACAAAAAATCATCATCTACCGCCCGCTTTAACACTAGAACGTCTATAGCAGTCATTTTGACCGTTTTTTGATTTTTAGCCCTAATGAAACAAACTGCATACAATTTACTTAAAAATAAATTATGTCATAACTTTTAATTTCTCCCACAAAAAACAGTTTTTGCAGAATTTTTAATACATTTTTGAGTTCAGAACCGTTTTTAATTATAAAATTAGAAATGAAAACAGTAATGATCAAAATGGCCGCTTTGTGCGTTCTAGGTCATGAAAATTTCCGGGTATTCTGATGTTCCGGGTGTCTTATTGTATGTTACACATACAATAGAACGGAACAAAGAGGGAGTGCAACTAACAACTATTAATCTAGTCGTTGCGGTGAGAACAAGAACACATTCTTCCCCCAACAGGAGCATCACAAGGACTAGGAAATCTCCTTTCTAAATACACTTCCTCTTTGTTTCGTTCTATTGTATGCGTAGGCTATGGACAATCCCAATGAAACGGAACAACATGTCATATACGTTGATCGTTTTGAAGGACAGTCAAAAACTAACAAATCTAGCAATTTTATAGTATAATTCGATCCATTTTGGAGTAATCACTTAAAACTGTCAAGTATATGCTGAAATACAATAGCAAGCGACATCTCACAGCTGAGCACGCAAAATTAGAAAATAGTGGGCACAACAGCCTGTGTATCTCGGTGGTGCTAATTAAATCTCAACATGCTATATCTTCATGCTTATGCAAATCATTAATATTTAATTGAATAAACTCTTTCTCTAATGTCTCACGATTAATTATTTCCATATTGATAACAATTGTTTCTGGTTCGGTGGAAGGTTTTCCAGAGATCCGCTATAAAAGCGTATGCATAAACTGGAAAGCCTATGCACTTTTCCCGACCAGTTCCGCATCCTATGATCTCTGCTAATCATTCCCTGAAACTTTGAGTCCTTCTGGACAAGAAATGAGCGAAATATACGATTTTTAATTTTTGACGATAACAGACGAAAAATTTGTGTCCTCGGAAAACGTCTGTATTTCCAGAACGAAAGAAGATGGACACGTGGGCTTTGCGTAGTTTTGAAGAAAAATGTTTTGACTATTGACTGGTATTATTTCCGATTGCATTTCATAGTGTGTTTTGGGAGTGGTAAGCTTTCGTACTTTGCCTCGAACAGTACGCCATGGTAAACCTAATCCGGAGCCCTGATGTTTTCATAGATTTACGTCCCAAAGCGTCTAGTTTCGGAATCTGCAAATCATAGGTCTCTAGCTATCTCCTGTTAAATTTTATAAGCATTCTCGCCAGGGCTCTCCTTTTTTTGTTAGACTCGGTCCTAGTTTATAACCTAGAACTTTCTACCTGCACCCTCTACACTAAAGCAAATATGTGATCCGGTAGAGATGAAGGCAATGAACAACTTTTATATTGATATAAACTTTCCAAAATGCTTCGTTGAAGCGGGAGACTGTGCAAGAAATACTTTTGGCACTAGGTGCAAAATACCTGGGAAAATCGCTTTTTTTCAATTTTTAAAAATTTCACCTCTCCTCCAAAACTTATCCAACCCATGACTTATTGCAAGTTTCCGTGTTTCTACACTAGGACTTTTTCCAGCCATCTTCTCCAATACTAATTAAAAAGGTTAAAATTCAGAAAAAATCAGAAGGTGATTAGAACAACATCCAAAATCAGAAAAATTCTGATAAATACGAAAAATTAGTAAGAATAAACTGGTGTCACCAGCCCTCGTCGTCAATAAATATTCGAGTACAAAATTTAAGGTACTCATACTCGGGAGTGTTTTTTACGACTACTTAAAAATGTACTCGAGTATTTTCGAGTACTTAAAGTGTTTTGACTATTACGCTTTACAAAGAATTTTTGGCCTTGCAAAATGAATAAATGTGGTTTTTTATAGTCACAAAAAACCTACTTGGGCTTCTTTTATCTCTCTTACGCTCAGTTGTATGTTAGGTTTCTGTGTGTTTGAAGTCTCTTTTCCTTTCTTTCGGTGTACCTTTCTCTTGGTCACTAGAAGAGATCATCAGATAAGAAGACGCATGTAATTATTACAGCAGACAGGAAGAAAATAGAGACTTCTTACATTTTCTGTGTCTTTTCTTTGTTTGTTGACAAGTATAAAGAGGAAGCTTTATTTCTTACTGCGTTAATTGAAATTGTTGATCTATTAATCTTATCTATGGGTGCTACTACTTCTCTGATAACCGCTAGCAGCGAGAAACTCTCTCTTGTTATTGATAAGCTCTACACTAATATTAAAAAAGATACTATAATTAATAAATGGTGTTCTAAATGTTCAGCATTTTCAATACTGATAAAAGATACGACAAAAACAATGTCAAATTTTGTTAAAAAACTACAGACAACACATCCTAAACACCATGATAAATGGAAATAATTAAAAACAAAGGAAAATCCAGTTTCTCAATAAAGATCAATCACCGACATTTTTGCAGAGCCGAAAAGAAGAAACATATATCCTTCATCTCATTCTCGTCATTTCTCGTCGTCGTTAACGTTCGTTTATCGATGACGAGGGCTGGTGAAAACCGTGAAAAACAAACCTCTGAACAGACAACAAGATTAAAACTAACTCAATATCACTACTGATTGTGTTCTCTTTTTTATAGGGATGAATCAAAAAATTATTAAAAAATTTAAAAGAATATGTAGTGATGCAAAGAATGTTAGTTTGACTCTGAATGTATGGTCTCATAGACGATTACAAAGTTATTGCGGTATCACCATGCATGCAATTACTAATAATGAATTAAAATGTTGTTTGTTGTCATTTGAACGTTTAAAAGGAAGACATACTGCAATCAGTATATTAAATGGAGAAAAAGAAGACTCGGAGAGCGAAATGGCAGGTGGAAGATGTTGAACTAACCAGAGATAAATCTGAAAGAATCAGTAAAAGTAGTAGCATAGATGATCTTCCTGATAACGATTTTTCTTATTTCGCCAATATTTAATCACAGAGTTCAATATTTGCTGATCGTTTGGAGAATATCAAACAGTCAATACCCACAGCAAATGAAACAAGATGGAATTCACAATTTTACACATTGAAACCTGTTTACAATATCTCTGATAGTGAATTAAATATGATTTTAAATGTGAGTATTCATTTACGATATCAATGTCTAAGGTAAAGAAATTTCTGTCTAGGCTATTGTCTATATAGTATTTGAATTGTTTAGGATTTAAAAAAACCTGAATTAATTCTCTCATCAACCGATAAAACAGTATTACTGAAATTTATACAACTATTAGAATTATTTGAAGAAGCAACAATGGATGCACAAGGTGAAAATCATGCTACTATTAGTTGTGTAGCGCCTTGTATCCTCTCAATTGTTCAGTATCAGTATGTGGTTCACATACTGGTCTTGCCAGGATTTTGATATTTTACATTTTCTTTTACTCTCTGTATTATGGCAACTATTATCTACCATCAACGAAGCAACTACGACCAAGAGTACAAATATGTAGACAAGTAAACTCTCACATATTTGAATTCAACCGTCAGAAATTCTTCCTTCTACAAGCTGCGTGTGTAAAAATGAGTTTTTTTTTCAAAATACTCGGTCGGGGAAAAAACGTTTATCACTGAAACATCATACTGTCCTTAAGAGTGGTGCAATCAGCTCCGGATAGCGTTGACTGTTACAAATATGTGTTAATTATGTAGATAAAAATGCAGCTGCTTCCAGTAAATATTGATTCGTTGGTTTTACAGTTTTTCTTAATAGACCATGAATCTTGCTTTCATAGATGATAATAGGCTTCCTCTATTTTACAACAAATATTTTATTCTTCATCTAGACAAGACGTATATGTCTGTTCTTCTATAGTTAACTGTACACTCTCACATGTCTGTGTTATGTCCGATCACACAATGACATCTTCAAAAATCGAATATTCTACAAGTCGTCGTACTAACAAAATGCGTCATGCACAGTCTACAACAGCATCCACTCGATTAATAAACAAAGAGTCCATCAAAAATGATATTTTTGAAATTATTTCAAATGATAATCATGTGAAACAGCAAATTCAAGCATTGCGTGGTAATTATGGACCAGAGAACGTTGTTAATATACTGCAAGATGCGGTTGTAAGACGCATTGAACAGCGTTTATCTATTGTTGAATAAAAAACAGACAAAATTGAGCAGCAGCTACAGTCTGACAAGAATGCTCGTGAGCGAAATTCACGACAGAAAAATCTTCGTTTTCTTGGTATGAAAGATCAAGGTGATATTGCTGTATCGATTGTGCAGGGGGCTGAGAAGATTGGCTTGGATATTAAAAAAGAAGATATTGAGTAATGTCATTCCTTAGGACCGAATAAAACAGACCTACATACACGACCAGTCATTGCTGCTTTTCATTCTCGATTCAAACTCAAATCACTTCTGGTGAAAAGAAAACAATTTAAGGAGGCAAGTGGTATCACATTCTTTGAGGACCGAACAAAATCTGATAAGTGGTTGCTTGATCAAATTCGTGATGGTCTGGAAAAGGAGGACAAAAAGTATGCATTCACTCGGGGTGGAAGAGTCTGTTATAAAACAGAAAGTCAGGGTGTTGTGTTCATTAATTCGTTTGGAGATATTGAAACATATCTATATGGCTAATCAAGGTTGTAGTGTTCAAAAAAAAAATTGGTTAAGGTATTGACTATGGATTCTTTTCATCCTTCTGTTTGTCTGGGTCATACTGACCTTTATCTTCTCTTCTGTGTAATGGAGATTTGTTAATTCTGTTCCACTCCACTTTTTACAAAATTCGTTCTTCTGTTTTGAAAATGTTTGCTGGGCGTTCTCCGATGGTAAGAGTTTCCACTCTCCGACACTCCCATTTTGCGCCGTCACTGTTTATTAAACCTATCAACAGAATAATCTCATAGGACTTTTGTTTTGTTCCAAAAATTACATCTTCTAGCGTGGACTTCCAATGTGTCATTGGGTCTGGCGCTTCTAATCTATTTACACATTTTTGTTTTAGATCATATTGTTAATTGTGTTTATTATCTATAAACCGCCATTCTTCGTCTACTACAAGCCAACAAATCCATCTTTTATCCAAATTTTCTGGCCTCTGTTATTCAAAGATGTAGCATTAAAAAGTACACGATCATTTCCAGAGGTTAAAACATTTTCTATCGACTTCTCCACCTATGACTCAAAGGATGTTTTACACTGGTATATGAAGTCGAAAGATCTTATTGATGCCGGCTTTGTCAGCTATAATGTTCTCTTTCTTTATGGCTTTCGTGTTATTATTTCCGATCTAAGTAAACTTATCGTGGCTGAAGCGGAGCAACGACATGATTCTACAATCAAATATGCATATACAGGAGATCGTCTGCCTGTTGACATTGAAAGATTCAAAAGGGAGGTTTCCGCTGGCTGGATGATAATTTCATCTGGATTTCTCATGGGATCACTGCCCTTAGACTCAGCTACAGAATATAGCTGCAATAGTAAAAGGAAGCCAGAGTGATCATGAAATCGGTTTTCCGACACTTATTGAAATTTGTATTGACCAAACGACAACAGCAGGTCCTCTTATCGACCAGCAACGAATCATATTTGATTTGGGTACTATTTTTAGAATTGAGGAATTATCTTTCAACGAAGAAAAAAACTTGTTCACACTGAAATTGAAAGAAGAAAAAGGTTTAGGTGATCACCTCGTCCGCCAATCTGAAGTTTATCATGATGAGTTCATCAACGAACCACACGAACTCTTTCGCTTTATTCAGTTTTTGATACATGTTAAAGATTTTTCAAATGCTATGTATCAGCAAATGTAATATTCCATGTGGATAAGTCAGTTGGGGCATCAATGTCAAACAGAACACTCTGTGCATCAGGTCTTTTTGTCGACTTTGTTTTTGCTATATTCATTGCAACTTCACGTACTTGACTGGATGAAAAATATCCGTTACATTATATTAGTTTACCGATGTTCGATTTTAGTAAGTCAAGTTCGTTTGAAGGTAACCTCGTACCATGATAGACTTTTAATATTTTTACTTCCTGTCCGTTTTTACGTTGCGTATCCTGGAATTTCATGTGTTCCTTTCGTAAGGCTTCTGACAAGTCATTAATAAAGTAACGAAATATAAACAGCGACATTATATCTTCGGAACGTAATGCTTTATTGATTAGCTTATAGATGAAGATGTCTTTCGTATACCATCGCACAGTGGGCATTTTTTGCTAGAGCAGGCGGACTTTAGCTTTATGAGTGAACTAAAATTTCATGAACCATTTTTTTATAGGTTTTTCATGATCCTCTTTCTAATGGCATGAGAGTTGGGCTTTGA